AAATTGGATTTTAATGAAACGTTTAAAGAGAACTATGCAGAAACCCAATTAGTTTTTGGTAAATATTTATGCTTATTAATCACCTAATTAACATAATTAATTAACACTGATATCTCAGTTACTGATCATCACATTTGAATAAAATTTGGTACATAAAAGCTCTAAGACAATATACAGGCCTGATTAATTTTGGGTTAAAATTTGTTTATATTAATTATCTAATTAGCATATTAATTCATAATTTTTTTGGTTCTGTTCTGTTCATATTAGTTACCTGATTTACATAATTAGTTTGTAGCTTTTCCATCAATATCTCATGTACGAGAAATTTTGAATTAATTTTTAATGTGTTCAATACTGAGAGCACACGGGAGTTCTTTCTAAGCTTTCTTTGATTGTAATTCTATACAGTGTTTTTGACATTACAACGCTATGCCATTTGTTTTTTCTGTTTCTACCTTTGATTTCACGCATAATGTGGGATCTCGCAGTGAATAAAAATGGACTATTGGTCAAGTTGTTTTCAACCGTCATTTGAAATTTAGGCCAGACTTTTGATATCCCTTGTTTCGCGAACCTCCGAATGAACAGGAGCCGAAAATGAAATAAAAATAAAATTTTATTTCAGCGTAATTTCTCACGCCTGCCGACTTGTAAGTGCAAAAAATTGCTAAAAAAAAACTTATTTTTATCTTCATTTTTTTTCACCCACGGCATAACAAACCCAAGTTGCATTTTCGTGGAAGTATCATGATCAAAGTACCGAAGTCTCGCGCAGATGAGAAACAAGGTTATACATGGAGTAAAATTTTATTTCATTTCTTCTCTCCGATCAATGATCTCACCTACAATTCTTTGAGAATCACACAAATCTAATGGAAAAAAAGAATTAATTTTATTTTTTTTCCACCCTCCTCAAAAAAACTGTCTTATAAAAACTTGAGAAACAAGGAATAAAAAAAGTCTGGCCTTATAAATGTTTTAAATAAAACAATGACAATATTAGTATAATCTTGTTGATTTCCAGGAGATCAAGTTTTAATTAGTAATCCTGAGGGTAATTTTAATCAAAACAAGTACATTTCTTGTCAACGCTTACTATTGGTATCTGCTGGTACAGGATTCACTCCAATGGTCAGACTGCTACATCATGCTTTACATTTCTCACATGAAAATAGGTGAGTACAGTTTTATTAGCTTGGCTCTCTACCTTGAAAACAAAAGAAAATACTTCAAACACTCTATGAAGCTTTAAAAATGCTCCGGTAGAGAAGTACAACATTTCCATTTCATCTGTAGAGGGCGCTGTTTTCTGTGTCTGGCTTCACTAAGATTGTTCATGATAAAAAATATCTGGTAATAAAATATTTGATTCAGGAAACGTACCCCCATTCAATAAAACAGTGTTTAAAGAATTTTATGTCACAAATTGAAATTTTATTTCACCAAAAACAAAACAACATTAAAGGTAGAAATTGTACAGGTAGTAAATATAAATAAATAAATAAATAAATAACGAATTCTAGTTAGAGTACTTTCCGTTTTTTGGTTGGGATTACAGATATAGTTCATCAGAACTAGTCAGGCCCGTAACCCCTGTATATATAATTTCATAGTTTAATCACACAAATCTTCAAATAAAGAATGAAAAAAAAAAAATTTTACAAATCACATATAGAAGTGATAGTTTTTTAACTTTGCTTTAAATTAACATGTCTCATAATAGTTGATTTTCTGTTCACTGCATGATATTGCGTGAAAGGAGCAAACAAAATTTCTGCTGCAAAAATGAAATGATTTGATTTTTAGCTTGAATTTCTGTTTTCAAAATTAATCAAATGTGTATAGCACATTATTAAGCGTGGAAATACTCCTAAAATACTTTAATATTTGTCAATTCCTACACAAAGATTGATGCTATTACAATCTTGTATAAACCACGTGTGATCTCACAATGAACTGAAAATTGTCTATTTTGCCATGAAAATAACAACTAAAGAGTGAAAACCTGTTGCCATTATCACACAACTCTTTGTAACACCTAACTCAGTATTTAAATTGTTTTATTTTTCAGACAAATCCATATGTTATTTTTTAACAAAACACAACAGGACATATTATGGCGAGAACAATTGGAGAAGCTCCAAGAAGACAATAGGTAAACAAAACATTAGGTCAAATGAAATGCATTTAAATGATTGACAGCCACAAGAATGACCAAGATCATACAGTACTGTACTTTCCCGAGTATAAGCCCACCCCTCTGTTTTTAGACATTTAACGAGTTGAGGGCCCAGGGTGTTTTTACTGGGCGTTGATGGCATTTATTAAAATATGCATGTAAAAAGTGTATTTCACTGCATAAAAATCATGATTGGTATGGTAGTTTGGTTTCTGCTTTTATGAGAAAACTCGCATTAATTTCAGAGTGCATGACGAGCGAGCGTACGAAACATTGTCCGCACCTTTTCTATTCTGATATTTACTCAGGATGAACCCCAATGTTGCACTACTGAAGTAATCTATATTTCTTTTGAGTAGTAGCAGTGTTCTCCCCAGGAATTTAAACCACTGTGGTGGACTAATTTGCATATAATATGCATATCATTTACATAATAATAGAGATTGACCAAAGAACATTTTTACAACAAACAAGAGTTTGAATTTAAAAATGAAACTTTCTCGAATCGAAATGCCAATGCTACAGACTATTAAAATCAAACAAATAAATTGTAAAAGGTTACAGCAAGTCCCAGAAGTATTGGGGCAGACAATTTGCAAATTCGCTAGCGAAAAGAAGTCTTGCAAGAAGTTTTTTACATGATTTGTAGCGTAAACTGATCGTGAATTCCGCTTTGCTCATGTTATATTAGGTGGAATTGATTTTGAAATAATTTTAGCTATCAATCTAAAGACTGCGTCTATCGTCAGAAAGTATTTACTTACAAACAAAGAGGTGCTAATTTTACAAAATTGACTTGTATTGTTTAAAGCCGCTATCACATCGTGTGACTATGTCTATTGTTTACAAATTATAATCCACGACTGGCGGGATGCTTGTTTCTTGTGTTGTGGAAATCAATAACGACTCGTTTCGCTTTTTTTTTTCTCAAAAAGATGTAATATTTCTCCAAGACTGTGAATGTGAATGAAAAATGTAATTTGGATAATCTTTCTTGGTTGGGAAGATGGTTATAATTTTAAACCCACCAAAAAATTGTCTTTCTGAGGTGGTCCTCTAGTATAAAACCACCTCCTAATTTTCCCGATTTTACATGTTCAGGCCCTTGGGCTTATACTCAGGGAAGTACGGTATATAATTGTGTATTTTTGGAAATTTACCTTAAAGCGAGGGATTCGTCATCTGCACAAGCGTCAGATGGCCATAGTGTGTCATTGTTTACAAACAATTGTATACCCATGAGCCTTTGCAATTTTAGCGTGTGTTATCATCGCTTGGAACTCAATTCCCATGCGTGCGCAGATGACGACCCTCCCGCTTTAAATTGCAAAAAGTAATTATTACACAAAATACACAAAAAGAATTATTGCTTTTTTAAATTTAAAAACTGTCCAAACTGAGCACTGTCACCTGAAACCAGTATAAATATCATGGAAAACAGAATTTGCTTACATTACCTTCTTGTTTTTATTCTTCAAATATGTTTCATTCCTTCTTGTCATTTCACTCTTCCTCTGATCTCTGTGTGTAACCATGGTAATAGAAACTGTGGACACCTAGAAAAAAGAGAATGGAACACAACTTGAGAGGCAAAAACAAGGTTGTTGCTCCCTCACTCTCAACGAGATCTCGGTGGCCATTTTCATTTAAGGTCCATCAAATAGAGAAGCTCAACAATCAGAACTTGTTTCCAATATACATTTGTAGTTATCTTTTGCTTTCAGATTCCATTGTACCCACATACTGTCTGCAGCAGAGGATGACTGGGATGGACCAACTGGTAGAATTCGTTCAGATATACTGGAGAGTTTTGCACCAAAACCTAGCAGTGATGCACAAACTCTAATCTGTATCTGTGGACCCACACCATTTACAATGACTGCAGTACAGTAAGTAAGACTTTTAATGCCCAAAAGTAGTCATCACATCCAAATATGGTGTTTACATCCAAACATGGTGTTTTATATCCAAATAAGGAGATGACATCCAAATATGGGGATCACATCCCTCTGTGACTGGATTTAAACCAGTTTGTGTTGTAAGTTAAAGTGCACTTTGTTATTACATCAATAGTTTATTTGTGTGAATATGGAAATTATGCATGTGGGTAGTAGGTACATGTGTTAATTAAATATATGTAAAAATTATGCATGTGGGTAGTAGGTACATGTGTTAATTAAATATATGTAAAATTATTCATGTGGCTAGTAGGTACATGTGTTAATTAAATATATGTAAAAATTATTCATGTGGGTAGTAGGTACATGTGTTAATTAAATATATGTAAAATTATGCATGTGGGTAGTAGGTACATGTGTTAATTAAATATATGTAAAATTATGCATGTGGCTAGTAGGTACATGTGTTAATTAAATATATGTAAAATTATGCATGTGGGTAGTAGGTACATGTGTTAATTAAATATATGTAAAATTATGCATGTGGGTAGTAGGTACATGTGTTAATTAAATATATGTAAAATTATGCATGTGGGTAGTAGGTACATGTGTTAATTAAATATATGTAAAATTATGCATGTGGCTAGTAGGTACATGTGTTAATTAAATATATATAAAAATTATGCATGTGGGTAGTAGGTACATGTGTTAATTAAATATATGTAAAAATTATGCATGTGGCTAGTAGGTACATGTGTTAATTAAATATATGTAAAATTATGCATGTGGCTAGTAGGTACATGTGTTAATTAAATATATGTAAAATTATGCATGTGGGTAGTAGGTACATGTGTTAATTAAATATATGTAAAATTATGCATGTGGCTAGTAGGTACATGTGTTAATTAAATATATGTAAAAATTATGCATGTGGCTAGTAGGTACATGTGTTAATTAAATATATGTAAAATTATGCATGTGGCTAGTAGGTACATGTGTTAATTAAATATATGTAAACATTTTTCATGTGGCTTGTGAGAGCATGAATTAAAATTATATCTTTCTGTCGAGGGTTTCCTGATGGAATCTCACTTTGACATGTCAAAATATATACTAATAATTAAGGCCATCATAAATGTTATCATTCATGTATGTTTTCCTACCATTCTTGAGCTGTTCTCACTACTGTGAAATACTTTATTTTAACTGGAATTAATTTTCACTGCTTTGTATGAAGTTTTATTTTTTTATTTTCACTAATATTGATATATATTTTCAATCGTACATTTTATTGACACTAACTTCCTTTATCCATTCACAGGCTTTTTGAAGAGTTTGGCTACAAACAAGATGAAATACATGCTTTCCTTGGATGAGTCGAGACAAATTAAAAAATTTATAACTCTTTATATATTCAAATTGAAATCTGAGATGTATTTTTATCAGAAAAAAATTATGCTATACATCATGTACTTATTTCAGAAAAGATATTTGTACGGATTTGTTAGTCAGTATTAGTTGTTCTATATTTTAGATACATATACTAGCACTGCAGGACAGTGCATTTATAAATACTGCTAACTCAATACACACAATATATTTGACATTGTCATCAGGGTTATAGCCTGACAATGACATGGGTATTTCTTTGGGGAGTCTGTATGCATATAATAATAAGAATACACCCATGTAATTTGTTTCTTATATTTTTTTTTTAATGTTGATCGCCATTTTAACCTTTTCACCTCTGGACTTTCTCGCCCAAATTATTCTGCATTTTTTTCTTATGATCTTCAATATTTTTTAAAATGAACACTATGTTTGGAGCCAACAGACAAACGTTGAGTCAATTTTCAGTTTTAACTCAAAAAAATCTGCCTATATTTGTCAGTCTTCTGAAGGAAAGTGCTGACAGTAAATGGGATTTTTGTGATGAAAAGAGGAAACTGGTGGTGAAAAGGAAATTATGATAATTTCGTCTAAAATTAGAAATGAGATTATAAAATGAAGATGATCCACTAAAAATGTGTGTAACTTGTTTGTAAAACTTTTTTTGGATAAATTGTTAGAAGATGCAATTTGTAAGTTTGTTGTCTAATTGGGCTATTCAATGTGAAAAATAGTGTTCATTTTTACAGACTTTGTTCATGTATCTATGACAATATGTATCGTAATCACAACTTTCAGTCCAAAAAATAATTTATTTCATCAAACAATTAAAAAATGCAACATTCTTGAAAAAACAGTGTGTTTCATATTGGAAATTGTTACAAATAATAGTGACTTGTTGTTGTAAAGCAACTGTAGGTTTTCTGCAAGATTGTGAGTTGACTTCAAAATTTTTGATCCTAACTTTGCTTACCAATCATGAAGTGGTAATAGATCAACCGTAGAGTGGTGATAAACCAACTGTGGAGTGACAATAGACCAACCAAGGAGTGGTGATAGACCAACCATGGAGTGGTGATAGATCAACTGTGGAGTGGTGATAGACCAACTGTAGAGTGGTGATAGACCAACTGTAGAGTGGTGATAGACCAACTGTAGAGTGGTGATAGACCAACCGTGGAGTGGCTATACCCCAACTGTGAAGTGGCGATAGACCAACCATGAAGTGGTGATAGACCAACCATGGAGTGGTGATAGACCAACTGTAGAGTGGTGATAGACCAACTGTAGAGTGGTGATAGACCAACCGTGGAGTGGCTATACCCCAACTGTGAAGTGGCGATAGACCAACCGTGGAGTGGCAATAGACCAACCGTGGAGTGGCATATACCCCAACCGTGGAGTGGCTATACCCCAACTGTGGAGTGGCTATAGACCAACCATGGAGTGACTATAGACCAACTGTGGAGTGGCAATAGACCAACCATGGAGTGGCAATAGACCAACCATGGAGTGGCAATAGACCAACTGTGGAGTGGCAATAGACCAACCGTGGAGTGGCTATAGACCAACTGTGGAGTGGCTATAGACCAACTGTGGAGTGGCTATAGACCAACCGTAGAGTGGCTATAGACCAACCGTGGAGTGGTGATAGACCAACCATGGAGTGGTGATAGACCAACCGTGGAGTGGTGATAGACCAACCATGGAGTGGTGATAGACCAACCGTGGAGTGGCTATAGACCAACCGTGGAGTGGTGATAGACCAACCATGGAGTGGCTATAGACCAACCATGGAGTGGTGATAGACCAACCGTGGAGTGGCTATAGACTAACTGGAGTGGCAATAGACCAACCGTGGAGTGGCTATAGACCAACCATGAAGTGACTACTAGCTTAAATGTACATGTACAAGATTTTGCTGGTAAACTTGATATGCTGCTATGTTGTATTTAAAATTTTGTTTGTTTTAGACTTATTTATTAAAAAGTAAATAAAACTATGAATTTTTACTCTAATATCATCTGTTTTGTAACTTATTTTGTTTTGTTGAAATTAAGCATTATGTTGAACCACCGGTCTTGTATTATCTGACAAATAACTTTTACTGTTAAACATGTTCAGACACCACCACACTGGCTCATTATAAAAACCATGTATAGCAAAGTCTAGTTACACTACTGCAGGGTGACATGTATTTCCATGCACGTTTAAATAATTTAGATATGCGCAGTGAGGTATGATTTCTTGTAAATCATAAATAAATTAGAGTACTCATTTGCTGCAAAATTCATAAAACTCTAATACCGTATTTATTCAATTAGAATCGCATCTCCACTAGAAGTGAGTATAAACCAAAAATTGAATACCGTACCTCTGTATTTTACGTAAGTGTATGTCGTGTGCTACTAATAAGAATAATAGGATTTTCAATTTATACATGCGATTCAAATGTTTTTGCTTTCTCTTCACTCTACAAATCACAATCTTGAATGAAATCTTACTCCTTGCATGTAATGCTGTGAATCTATTCTTGTGTCCAACTAATGGAATAAATAGACCTTAGATGAAATGGCTGCTGAGATTTTGTTAAGAGCAAGAAAGCCACAAAACCATGATCTATGTAACCATGGTATCTTGAAATGGTGGATGTGATGACTGGAGAAATGGAACTTGACGATAATCAATAGACTGGCAATGTTGGGACAACTTTTTATTAGTTTTGTAAACAAAAAATAGTGAATTTCAAATAATTTGGTGGGAGTTTCGGGATCATGTTAAAAGAAATGAAAATTCACCATTTTTTTTAACAAAACAAAAAAAATATTCGAGAGATAATAAGGTAAACATTTGGTTACTTAGGTAAAGTATTTGCTGTGTTACTTAGTAATGCATGTGTCTATGTTAATGAAGATGTGTCGATTTGACAAATCAAAAACGCTTTGTTAAATGAGCAAGATGACCAGCACCCATTGTCAAACTAGCCAGACATTGCTTGTGAAAAGATGAATTAGAGATGTACTTCTAATAGAACAAATATGCTTATTTGCTATTACAGATGCTCTTCTGTTTGAGCAAATATGGTATACTGTTTGAATCTTGTGTAGTGCATACTTTTCAAAATAGCCATTGATTTAAACTATTTGTTATATTATGATCACCCATCATTACTTTAGGAAAAGTTACTTTTAAATTCAAATAATTCTAAAAGGGGGGCGGTCATCGCTCAGAGCATTTTGTAATTTTGTGTAGTACTAGTATTTTATTAGAGTGACATAATTTCATTAACAACTTGTAAACATACGAATAAATGCTAAGAAGAAGAATAAATGACATAATTGTACATGTACTTCTGAATAAAAAAATATATGATAACTAAATCGGTACAAACAGTTCATTGTGTCTTCTATTGAATGCATGATGCATGAATTTAGATGTATCATAATTAATATAATTTAATTTCTACGGATCATAGAAGTTTTGAGGCCTAAACAATTCTCGCCGATTGTGTTAAAGAAATCATGATGAATACATTCATATGAAGAACAATGGAATTGTGTGTGTGTGTGTGTGTGTGTGTGTGTGTGTGTGTGAGGGTCTGCCTGGGTTTTTATATATTTCCATTAAAAACCAGTTCATGCCGAAGTGACATTCTATGTAACTGTTTCATGAATGTTACCATTAAAACATAAACAATAGATCTCTAATGTAATGAGACTAAACTTCTCATATTCAGAATGAAATATGACACTAATAAATGTTTTATTGTAAAAATGTCATAATAAAATCGGCATTTATTTTAATTGACTTTTAAATGAT